ATTTACAGTTTTCCGACAGTGTGGCCCAGACCACGGAGAGGTCCACACTTCCCCAATAGAAATCCAACGAGAGACTGTCCAAAAATCACAGACAAAATCCAAAACGATACATATTTTCGTATCGCTCCCATTTCTAAACTATTTGATGTACTGACATAAAACTTTGTATAGAACATCTTCAGACCCTTCTAGCACTCACATTGAAAGATTTTTTTCAATATCATTTATGGTTTAGCTGTTTAGCTGACTTGTTTGGGCATAGGAAAACATTGATTCTGAGAAAAATCCTCATACTCAGAAAAAACATATTTTTACATAATCACTGTGGCCAAATAGTTTTTAGTAGAAACATAAAAGTTGGCACAGTCGAAGCCGACGGATGGCTGACGCCAACAGTGAAAGTATTTTTTGAATATCTTTTATGGTTTTGCCTCACTGCTCATTTGTTCGGAGGGGAAGTTTTGCTTTTGAGAGCTCCGCCCTACCATGGAGCTGCATGTTATTTAATGTATATATATATATATATATATATATATATATATATATATATATATATTGAAATATTTTGTATTTGAATTTCAAATTAAATTATGAAAAAAAATTGAAAAATCTCTTAATCAGGGTCATTGGTTGCGGGGCGTTGCCCTAGCGCCCTCTATTGGCCAGCCGCCACCGCTATTTTGTTTTTATCCATTTTAAAATTATTCTTCATTGACTGACATTAAGAAATAAAACTTGATGCAAGTTTTGGCCCTGAAGCGTTAGCTCCGTCCACTTAACCTGTCATCTACCCAGCATGCATTGCACCGGGGGGAAATGTAGACCTCCATGGATTTCAAATAAAGAAGGATAAATATTTCTTGAAGTAATTAGGATATTTTATTTGTCATAAACATTTAGGCCAACAGGATGAACTAGTTGGGATCCTTTTTAAGGCTCCAAAAGAAAACATTTCTATGAAAATTACAAAAAAAATTATAGCCTTATAAATACTAAGAAATAATGACTGATAATCAAAGGAAGATCCCTATACTACTAATGACCACAATTTAATTAGAATCAGAATTTATGAATGGCTTATAGCTAGAGTGTTTGCATGTCAAAGATCAGGGGTATTTAAAAAGTCTCTTCTTTTGTTAAGGAGTAAATTAATCTGCAGTGCAGCAGGTATTTATCCTGACTACTGTGAATATCAGTTACCATTAGCGCTGCTAGCCTTTCATAATCAGTCGTTTGCTGTGCACTTATTCAGACTGACGCGGTCCATATGATGACTGATTGAGCGTGTCCTCCATATTTTTAACTTGTCACTCTAAAGGGGAAAACTGTAAATCTGTTGGTGTCATTACCGGAGACAAAATCAATCAAATAGCAGGAAATAGTCAGAGTTGTCCAAGAAAAATCAAAGAATCTGTGTGATGAAAACATGTTTTGAAACCTACTTTCAGGCTGCTTTCATTCATATAATTACACCTTGGTCCCATTGGAAATATGAGCACCTTTTCATGTTGCATCCAGTTGCAGCTTATTTGCAGGTTATATTTTAATGTCTTTGATTGTTTATTGATATACATACGGAGGGCTAAAGAGGACAAAATAAAAAATTAAAACTGTTATGAAAAAGATAAATATAAATGCATTATAAAATGAATAAACGCACCATTAAGGAGATATGAAATGTAAAATAAAAGTAAAAAAATGTATCATTAAATGTACCATTAATTTAATACACATTTAAATTAAATATAACATTAAGTTATCAGATTAAAAGTAATTGACTTTAATTTTCCATTAACAAAAGAGAATATTACTTTTAAATTATTCCGTTAAATAATTTTTTTTTTTAAATAAATTAATTTCAGCCTACATATACATTTCCTTATTTCACTACATTTATTTATTTCATGGCATTTGAGCCTCAGACTCTATTAAATTATTAAAAATATCGACTTCATCCATTAAACTCAGTGGGCGGGACCAGAGTCACTTAAATAGAGACCCTTTGCTTCATGCTTTTCTGTGCCCTCATAAAAAACACACTGGCCCCCGCTGGTCCCCCACTGGCCCCCTGGCACATTTGGACTAGAACCGCCACTGGAGCTACGGGGAAGGAGAATGACACAGGGGGGCAACAGAGAGTAAACAGGAAATACATAAGAACTCAAATACAACCACAAAACAACTACAATGACACAAAATGGAAATGAGTCCAATTACCTAGAAAACACGGAATGAAAATCAAAGTGTAACAGAAAACTCTAAAACAAAACATAAACAGAAGCAAAAAAGATAGAAAAATGACAAGTTGTGGTTTCTTTGCGGTAACAAACATAAACTTCTATTCCCTAGCAAAAGTGTGAGAATCAGGACAATCCTCTTTTCATATTGATGTTGTTAAATAAAAAAATATTTACCAAAATAGCTGTCCTATTTTTTATTCTAAAGTTCTTCACAGGTGATTATAGCAAAGTGGTTCTACACATCAATAGATAAGGTGGTTTCTGAAAGTTACAAGGTTCTTTAAAATTACTCTGATACAGCAATGAACTGAAAATTTAATTTGTACCTTTGAATACTTTAGTATTTTCAAAAGTGAGTACTTCAGTACTTGTAGTTGAGTAAGATTTGACTGAGTATCAATACATTTCCTCAAGTAGGCAACTAGTGTTGAATACTTCCACCTCTTATAGTTGTCTTTATAAATGTACTCAAATATTAAATTTATCTTCAATTTTCAAAGAAACATTTTTTACTGCACTAAAATATCTTATTTGTATCCTTTTTATACATATTTACCTGGTATGCCAATACTGTTTAATTGTTCCCTTTATGTTTAAATGCTCCTGAGCAGCAGTGGAGACCCCTTGCAGAGCTACGTCCCTCTGTGCGTCTGCTTCTGACATCACCTCCTCTAAAATTACAGATATGGCAATGACTCTCTTAGGGACAGTTTAGTCTTCTTGAGACGGGAAGACTAAAGCAAGCGCCGTTATGTCGTTCAACTGGTCGTCCAAGGAGCAGAAAACCGCAAATCAGGCCGCAGCGGGCGGACAGAAGCGAGCGCGCAGCGACGCGGGGAACAAAGTGACGGTGGTGATCGGGTCGCAGTGGGGGGACGAAGGAAAGGGGAAAGTGGTGGATCTTTTGGCCACAGAGGCTGACGTTATCTGCAGATGCCAGGTAGATATCTGGAGTTTCTTATGTCAAGGTTTCAGTCATATAGGACAACGTGTGTATCTTAAAATATTAATAATGATAAGGCATGCAACTGGTTTTGGTCCCTGAAAAAAACTATCCAAGTACCTATATCTCTGTAAAGGTTTGAATTTCAGATTTATTATTGTTTGTTAGACTCCATCGTAAAGTTGGAAAGTTAAAATTGTGAAGTTTGTTCAATTTGTCGTGGATAACATGGGCAAAAAAAAAAAGAATAAAGTAAAAAAACATTGAAAAAATCACAGCCCTTCACAGATCTGTTTGTACATATACAGTGACACGACAGTCCAGAGGTCAATCGTGCGCTGAGACGCACACTGAATCCTGTCTGCAGTTGGGATGTTGTGCTTTCTCCACTGTCAGGATCTAGTACCCTGTGTCCTGAAGCCTGGATAGCCCCCACCCTCCGGGCTGGAGAGGTCACATTCTCTGGCTGGTTTGATATGTGAGAAGGGCAGTGTAGCCTAGGGGGAAAGAGCAAGTGCCAAGCCTGTTAATTTGGGTGCTGGAAAAACTTGGTCCTCTTTATGTCACCAAAGGTAGTGAGGGTTTTGATTTTAACTAAATATTCTGTAGTTAACATACAAAAGTTTTCAAACCTTTTAATTTTTTTTATATTAAAGCAGTACATTTAGTTTGAATGAAAAGAAAAATAATGAATCAATGACTTAACGTCTGTCTGCACTGCATTTTAATCAGGGGTGTCAGAGGCTGGATAAAAATGTATTTCAAATGTAGAATTAACCTTTGAAAAGATATTAGATTTTCCTGTTTGTGGTTGTCATGGTTGGTGGATGTAGTTGTGGACCCAAATGCAAAGTTTAATGAAAAAGTGAAAATACAAAATCCTTACTCCAGAAGTGTCATGATTGATTTAGGGATTTCTTACCCAAAAGCAGAGAACCACTCAGAGACCACGGGAAAAAGTTTAACAGGTTTATTTAATGTAAATGTGTAATAGAAGTTGGGTCTGGAACCTAGTGGACTGGTGAACCGGAACTGGAAAGTCTGAAGGGGAGATCACAGTGATCAGTTCAGGTACCGTAGGAAATTTGACCAAGGCTTCAATAATGCTGGAGAGGGACTCACGTTTGAGGGGGCTCTTGTCAAACCTTAAATCCAGTCAGTGTGGGATTTATCCAGAGAAGAGGGGACTCATTGGAGAGTGGACAGGTAGACATACATTGGACCCAGAGGAGTAATGGTGCGGACTGTCACTTGGATTTCCAATGGGAACTTGAACGGATCATGTGAAGGTTTTCCCCTGCTCAGTGTGTACTCAGTAAATCCTTCCAGGGGGAGAAGGTCCAGGTATCCAGTTACTCAGGAAGGCTTCCTGCCGAAGAGCAAAGACAAAAAACAACATAAGACTCAGAGAAACAAAGCTCAGGTTAGACTGCTAATCTCAGCTTGGCCCAAAACTAGCAAACACTCTCGCGTCGAGGTAGAGACAGCCCACTGCTCAAATACTCCTCCAGTAATGATCTAACAAGCAGCAGGTGAGCAGGGAGGGCCAACGAGGACAGGGCACCACCAGGTGGTGGAGAGACGGAAACACAAAAACAACCCACACAAACTGGATTCCTAACAAGAACTGATGGACACAAAAAATCAATAACCAAAAAACTAGTAGAAACTAGGGAGGAATTAACCAAAAATAATGACAAGGATCCAGCAAAAAGTAACTGAACAAAAGGTGTATATATGGGAGACAGAAACAATGGGAGGACTAATTAGTTAATAGGGAGCAGGTGTAGACAGAAGTAACTAGAAGGAGCCAAGGGAAAGGAGACCAGCACAAGGGGGCAACAGAGAGTAACTTTAAAAAAAACTTAAAGCTTAAATATAACACAAAATGGAAAAGAAATCAATGATAAAGAAAACACAGAATAACCTAAATTAAAGTGTAACTGAGAACTTAAAAATAAACTTTAACAGAAGTCCATAAAGGGCACAATCATGAGAATGATTATGCACCCCACCACCATGCTTTATCAGTTAGTATCCCGATAAAGTTATTGATTGTAAGGTGACAACATTTAAAACAAGAAGTGTGAATACTTTGCAAGGTGCTGTATATTTACCTTTGCTGGGATTTCCAGGGAGGCAACAATGCAGGACACACAGTGGTAGTAGATGGCAAAGAGTACGATTTCCACCTTCTCCCCAGTGGAATCATCAACAGCAAAAGCATTTCACTCATCGGTAAAAACAAAACAGCTCCACATTTCAATCATTACAGAAAGTGGACACTTCACAGCTTTACTGAGTATTTTCCTTCCTCTCGTTCAGGTAATGGAGTTGTCATACATCTGCCTGGACTGTTTGAAGAGGGAGATAAAAATGAGAAGAAAGGTATTTTCATGCAAATGTGGTAAAAAAAAAAAAAAAATAAAAAAAAAAATAAGGAAAATGCTGTGTAAAATGATTCCCTGTTCTCATGTTGACATGATTTTTATTCCATGAGCAGGACTGAAAGGTTGGGAGAAGAGACTGATAGTGTCAGACAGAGCCCACCTCGGTACGCACATTTCCTTCTGTCAGTTATTTGGATTAATTGTGAATTTTCTCTTTAACCAAATTAAATCTTATCTTCTTGACAGTCTTTGATTTCCATCAAGTTGTTGATGGCTTGCAGGAGACAGAGAGACAAGCGCAGGAAGGAAAGAAGTAAGGGGCAGGAGTAAAGTAAGGTGCACAACGGGAAATGTTCTTTCTGCCCTAATCCTCATTGATTCTGCTTTATTTTCCATGGCAGCATTGGAACAACAAAGAAGGGCATTGGTCCGGCATACTCCAGCAAAGCTTCCCGCATTGGTCTACGTGTGTGTGACCTCTTGGGTGACTTTAATGACTTCTCCACGAGGTAGAAATATTTTAAGAGTCCAACTTCTCCAAGTAACTTCTGCACAGTAAAGGGTCATATTCTTTTAAAACTCTTCTCAGATTTAAGAATCTTGTCCGTCATTATCAGTCCATGTATCCATCCTTGACAGTCGATGTTGATGACCAGCTAAAAAAACTGAAGGTAGGTGGGTTTTTTGTTTGTTTTTCTAATTGGTGAAGCACTAGCCCTGTAAAAAATATTTATAGCCCTTCATAACCCTTGAGATTTTTCACATTTTAGGAGTCAGCAGGGGTCAGCAGTGAGCATTTTGGGGTATTCATCTTATTTTCTAAAGTAGAGATAGAAAGTCAGTCTTAAGATGTATAGTTGATTGGAGGCATAACCCAAAATGACTTGCTCTGGTGGGTAAAAACAGATACACAACACACTTTTCAGAATTTCCAAGCAGGAAAATAAAACCATGTGCCCTATTCCTTACATTTCTCTGTGTTGGGTTTATAATATTAAGTTCAATCTAATTAGAGCAACTATATACATTTTTTTTTATCATATAAATCATAGCTAAAGCTAAGATGTTTTTTCCTGTTCTTTTTACCCCACTATCCTGTATAATGATGAAATGTCCCAGCCTTCATCTTGGAATGTGATATTTAGGTCAAAAGGGACAACAGCTTTTCCATGGACACATATTTTACTACAATCTAAAATAGCTTGTTCTAACATCTCTGATTAGCGGATACTTTATATTAAGCTACCTAAAAAACTTTTTTTTTTTCCCCAAATTTCCCTGATTAGTTGCCTCCATACGGCTACCCAGGAGGTATCAATTATTTTGTAGCTGTTTACTACCAAAAGATATTTCAGTGTCTTGTTTTGGAAGATTTAAGCTATTTATTTTTTGTTTTGTTTTTGAAGAAGCAAAGAAACGTCTTCAAATTCCAAACCTAACTCTAAATGTGTTTTGTTTCTTGAAGGAATTTGCAGAGCGATTGCGCCCGATGGTCAGAGATGGGGTCTATTACATGTACGAAGCTCTTCATGGACCTCCAAAGAAGATTTTAGTTGAAGGGGCCAACGCTGCTCTGCTTGACATCGACTTTGGTAGATCTTGTTTTAAAGCAATCTCCTGAACGCGTACATTAACATGCTGTATATTTTCATGAAACATCAGTGATGCTCTTCTAGGCACATATCCTTTTGTGACTTCATCAAACTGCACCGTGGGAGGGGTGTGCACTGGACTGGGCATCCCTCCGCTCAACATTGGTGATGTGTTTGGTGTATCCAAGGCCTACACCACCAGAGTGGGGATTGGAGCCTTTCCCACAGAACAACTGAATGTAAGACCTCAAAGTTTTAGCATAAAGACTCTATCTGGGAACATTTAGTCTGATCATTTTGTCTGCATTATAGGCATGGACTGGTATTTTTAGATTAAGGGTGTGATATTCCTGAGTCATAGTAATCTGGTGATATTTAACCCCTTAACTCTTATTGTTGCAAATTTGCAACAAACCCTTTGTATTACGTACACAGCCAAGATAGCATGTGGATTCCTCCAATGCCAGTTATCATGCAACCTGTCTTCCCCTGGGGCCCGGTCACGGGTGGTTGAATAAGCCAGAGGGTGAGAATAGTCTGAGAGTCAGAGAGGAAATGAGCAGAGATGGGTGAAAGTTCGCTTGCATGCGGTAGAGAGAAGCTAGGCAAAATGAAGGGGATATTGAAAGATGATTGGCTTTGAAGGAGGTGTGGCCTCGAGATGATTGGCTGAAGCTGGACAAAGGGGTTCAGGTTAGGCTGATAACGGTCCAGATTAAATTTTCACTAAAGTTTAATATGTGTCCTTTGATATGTAAAAGCTATGTGATCTTCTCCAGCGACCATTAAGTCTTTATGGGTCCCTTCACTAAGAAAAAAAATCTTAAGATCTTTGAGGATAACATAACCCATTATCCTTCCAGTAATGGAAGAGATACTGTCCCAGAATCAGTCTAACTTTGAGCACATTGCTGTTGTTCATCACTTTGTTCCTTAAAAATATGAGGTGTAACTAAAAATTCACCCTGATTTATCTTTCTCTTTCTTCAAGAACCAGTAGACGTCTGTGATGTCACACACATCACCCTCTGACTCTTCTATACAATTGTTATACTTCAATAATAACTGTCCTCAACACAGAGTTGACCTAAAACCTAAGTGACTGGGAATGTAGATAAGCAATAGGGAACCTGTTTGGAGAGCAACCTCCCTCTTGCATTCATTACACCCTTAATCTGAGTTGCACACTGGGTGGTAAACCTTTGGTGCTTTGGTAGAAAATATGATTATGAAGCTGCATTAAAAAAAAACAACAAAAAAACCTTAGTGTATCTTTAGATGACTAGTATGCTGCTTTTCATTTTGTGGTTTGTAATTGTGCAAACATTTATTGTGGCTCACACAGCTGTTGGATTTATTCCTGAGATGACATATTTCCTATGGATAAACTTAGGGCCATGTTCTAGGTTAGGGACATATTTACTGCAAGAGTCAGAATTGTATCACCTGTTTCAGGAGCTAACCACTAAGATAAATGTCAGGATGTGAAAACATGACCTCCTTGCACGTGTGACGTGTCACTGTCATCAACATCTGTTTAATTTTCCAAAATTGAAACTGCACAATTAAACTGGTGAAGTTGTTGTTGTGTTTTGTTTTTGTTTCCTGGTTTCTCTAGGCAGTTGGAGAGCTGCTACAGACACGAGGTCATGAAGTTGGGGTGACCACAGGAAGGAAGCGGCGCTGTGGCTGGTTGGATCTTGTCATTCTCAGATACGCTCACATGATTAATGGCTTTACTGCGTGAGTATCACAAGAAATTTTAGGCAAGGCATCGGGTGTTCTGTAGATCCTACACCATCCTGATCACTGTTTATAGTAACTCAAACTAAGTTTGTTGTTGCCCTGTTTCCAACAGCATTGCTTTGACAAAACTTGATATTCTGGATGTGCTTGATGAAATTAAAGTTGGCATTGCCTATAAACTTAATGGGAAGAGAATCCCTAATTTCCCAGGTAATAAATAGAAGGTATTTATTTAATATTTTGTTTTAATACTCCATCTAAAGCTTGGGAATGCTTGCTCTGTTTTATTATAGCCAATATGGATATTTTGCACAAAGTGGAGGTGGAGTACGAGACCTTCCCTGGTTGGAAGACAGACACATCTGCAGCCAGGAAGTGGAATGATCTCCCAGCCAAGGCACAGAACTACATTCGTTTCATTGAGAACCACATTGGAGTCCCCAGTATGTCTGACACGAAAATCCCATATCCTTAAACTTCAAACCCACTGCAGTTAAAAAAAAAAAAAAAACATTGCTCTCCATTAAAGGGCACAATTAGTAAATCAAACCAGCTTTGCTTATACTTGCTGTTATTGATTATCTTTTTCTTTTCCTCATTTCAGTCAAATGGGTCGGTGTCGGGAAGTCCAGAGAGTGCATGATCCAGATGTTCTAAACCACACTGCACTCACTGAAGAGAAGAGTCGGGAGATGTTTTAGCCCGGAGACAATCTCCTTAAAAAAATAAAACCGATATGGATAACACCACTGAGATGTGTTCATTGACTGCCTTCTGAAGCTGTCAAACATACCCGTTTATTGAAAGTCTATACAGCATACTGCACCTTCCAAATCAAAACATATCACTTTCCCAGAGAGGACTTTTTTCAATGAATAGATAACCTTTGACCTAATAACCATTATTTGTCCTTACTTTTGAATATTACAACACAATCTGTCCTCTGCACATAGTGCTTTTTGTAGTTTTGTACTCCATGAAACATGCAAAGCAGAAGAAGAAACTGTCCAGTTAACGATTTCCACTGATTTTACCTGAAAAAATCTGAGGATATAAGGTGTTCTCTCTAGTGCTTTCATATTTTTTATTGCAACGTCGCTCTGTGCAGTTGCCAGCTTATCCTTATGCTAGCAGAAAAGCACTGCTGCATTATGGGTAATTTTAGCAGTGTGACTCATGCATTGTAAATACCTATCTTCTGCGCTGTGAATGGCCCAGGCTGATCTAGCTGCAATTAAAGGCGGTTAACTTTCTAATTTACTTTACTGGAGAGGCTAGCCACCACCATATTTTACCATATTAAGTTGATGTGCAACATTACTTTTAGATTAGTAGAGTCTTATTTGATGGGATCATCTTAATTTACTTAATTTAACTTTACTACATTATCCCCTACATTGCTTACTAATTGTAATGTACTTATATCATTCCAAGTTAGCTCTATTATTGTTCAACTCCAGAGTTACTTTGGGGATTTTTGCCAGTTGTCATTACCTGTTCTTCAGTTTATCTATAATCCCATCTCTTTAAATGGGCCTACTATTTTCCATATCATTTCCTTATTACATATGATAGAATGAACAATTTTCCGTAATTAATTAATTTATAATCTAAGCAGAGGGGGGGTAGTTGACAAAATATAACTGTACTAGTTTTACTGCACCATACCTTTTAGTTTTAATTGATTAAACTATTATAAAATGGCGCTACTCTTGAGTATGATGTTTGGCTACTTCATCCATCATGAGGAACTTCAAAGTATAACAAACAGACCAAAAAAGTTAAAAAAATAATCCACTGGACTTTCTTTTCCAAGTTTGATGATGTTTCGCTTCGCATCCAGGAAGCTTTTTCAATTCAAAATATATTAATAATATATTGTACGGAGTAAATATTGTCCCTGGGAGTACTGGTTTCAAAAAAGTTACGTTAAAAAGAAACTGGTTTTTAAAAGTGTTTTCTTTTTGCCTGGAATTTTTTTGTTGTTGTTGTTGTTTTTGAAAAAAAAAAAAAAAAATAATAATTGTTATATGTTACTATTTAAAATAACATAATTTGCACATACCTCTACATTTTAATAATTCTATATATCAGATATTATGAAGAGCTTCTCATTACTTCAGTAGCCTTTTAACCTAATACTTTTTACTGTATTTCTTGGAGGACTACTCATTACTTTTAGTTGAGTAAAAATATGAGCAAATAGGGTTACTCTTACTGGAGTGCAATTTTTGAGTTGTTATTAAAACAGGTAGACCCCTTTTTAATATCTATAGGCTGCTGAAGGCTTCAGTATCTGAAATAGTTCCTATTTAGGCCCAGTAGAGTAATGAGCAATAAAACAAATACAAACATACCAATGTTTTAAAACTCTGTTTGACAAATATCTTCAAAATTAATTATCCTTTTTTGTATCCTTCTTTGACCTTCAATTCAGGTTCAAACTTGATAAAATGCTGATGTTCAGCAAACCTCATGTAAACTTTGTTTATTTGCTTCCATCAACAGAAGTAAAAACTAACTGTGAAGTCTAAAACATATTTGGGTTGGTTCTAAGTATTCTTTATTACAATATTTATGATGGTCACTGAATACATCATAGGATTGAAAGTTTTATCACACGACAAGACAGCAGCATAAAAGGTCTTTAGAGGGAACGATAACAATTACAATTCCTTTTTGTAAAGGGGAAGTAAATCGCTTATTAAGAGTAAAGAAATGGAAAAATGGCAAAAGAGATGGAACGAAGCTACAAAAGGAAGAGGATTATATAAGGTACAAAAATCTGTATTAAATAGAATCATTAATGAGAGAAACAAAAGGGAAGAAGTAATAATGATCAGATTAAGAGTGGCTCATACCTATTTAAATGATATAATTTATATTTAATGGGCAGGAAAAATAATGATAAATGTGAAGGATGTGGAGAAAAAGAAAATGTAAAACATGTACTTATGAACTGTAAAACTTATGAACATGAAAGGGAGAAATTGAGAAGGATGGTTGGAAGAACAGGGAAAGAATGGAGTCTTAAAGGAATATTGGGAAATAAAGGAAATTTAAATGGATATTCACAGATTAAGGAAGGCATTATTTATTTATCTACAGCATACAAAATTAAAAAATAGAATTTGATATAAAGTAATGTTGCTACACATTCGTGTACAGTAGGTGGCGTTATGCACCTTAAAGTTGCTTGCGATCCGCCATAATAAAAAAAGAGGAAGAAGAAGACAGCGGCATTTGGATTGGACATGCATGTTCACGTCACAATAATGTCTCGTCACTGATTGGCTGGCTTCTGTGTCCTGCTATTTTTCCCGCAATAAACAACCGTGTGAAACTGTTAGCTTAGCAGTACACGGGGAGCTTTGGACGATTAACAACGAAAATGCCCAAACGAACCTATCCATTTCCAGAATCTTTCTCCTCCCAGTACAAAATACACATCGGACAGCGGGAGATAAACAATTACAGTGTATTTGGAAATAAGTACCGACAAGATGTATACGGTGAGTAAAAGATTGTAGGCTTAAGTAATGCTGTTAGCTACAGTGTTAGCTTCGTTGCGCACGTTTGTTTGATGCTGTTTTGACATTCCCCGCTGCTTTTTAAACACCTGATAGGATGTATTTGTGTATCAGCTGATTGAATATCTTCTGTCTTTATCTTGTCCCCTCTCTCCCCATCGCCTCTATATAGAAAGTACAAAAAACTTGCTATTTAACGGGGCGAAAGCTGTAGTGGGCAAAATATGGAGTGGAGAGAAGTGCGCAGATTCACAGCCAAACGGAAAAATATCTCCATGCAGTCAAACGCTTCTGAGAGGACAGACACTAATTGGACACGACGGGAAACTCACAAGAACAAATGCTGTACAGGGTAAGTGAAGAGCGAAGCTAATGCTTCAAAATATGTCGCGTGTCTGTGTTGGGATTAAAAAGTCACCGTTAAGAACTAAGCCAGAGGTCTTCAACAGGGGGTCGCGAAAGTTTTGTTTGATTTATTTGTTTTTATATTCCCACCTGCAATTGTTTCCACTAATTGAAATATCTTTAAATCCACATTAACATGAATTCAACACACTATATTAAAGAGATAAATGGAGGTAGAAGATGTCTTTGTCTTCAATGCATCACAGGAGCTCTTTCAAGCTGGGCACCGTTTCATTCACAACACCTGTCCCATCAACCAGGAATCAGGATCAGAAATACTTTAATACTCCCAGAGAGGAATTACTTTCGTTACATTACTCGATCTGTCATAGAGTGGCTATAGGACCAGTTTGATATAACACAATTTCATACAATATATATAATTAGGGGGTTCCTGCTCCATCTCTCCATCAGTTTGGGGGTCCTTGGCCTGGAAAACGTTGAACCCCTGAACTAAACTAATCCTCAACTTCATGCATCTACATCTTGCCTGCAATGCATGATGATCGGGACAAGATCAGAGCCCACAGAAACCTGCACAGCAGTTTGGTTTCCTGGTCACAAATGAGGCTTTTTGGGCAATTAATAAATATATTACTTTGGCATGTACAGGGAATATGCTTAGACTCATCACCTAGAGTTGCGGCATGGGTTTATTTAGTTGTGTTTTCAGAATAACTTGCATTTTCTAACATACCCTTTCTATGCTTGAAGCCATTTTACATGGGAGTCAGACTGACTAGAGTTTCCTCCTGCTGCATTCACCAAAGGATTGCAGCCCTCTAACCTCTCCATTATACTATTTTTATTTGAGCACATACAGTCATGCTAAACTATGACTATCAGTTATTTTAATGGTAGACTAATCTGTTAGTATTTTTTCCTATTAAATGGTTAATCACGATTCTTATAATCTCCATTGCATTATTAAAGATTACTCTGTTGCTTGTAAAAATGTTTTGACTTTTTTTATTCTAGTCTACACAAATAGCATTTACTTTTACCTCTTGTTGCTAATATCTTTTATTACACTTTATGAGATCAGTGAGGTATGAAATTAACCAAATTTAATATTTTTTGCATTTCTAGTTTTTAAAAACTAAACATCAAAGATTGAAATATATTTAAAGAGGCTTTTAATAATTCTTAATTTTTACGAGGCTTTTACACTGCATTGTAAAAAGGTTAGCAACAAGTTGAGCACTCAGGCCTGTTCATTGTTGACATTAAAGAATAAAGGTGATAGTTATTCACTTTCAAATATAGTCTCCATTAGGGTAGGACATCGATCTTAAAAGTTTACAAGCAGAACCAGAGTGTTGTTCAGAGGAAGTGGTCTAAACTCCATAAATCTGTAATTCTTTGAATTTTAGATTTACGTTAATGTTACTATAAATGGTTACATAGATATCATCAACCAGTGTTTATCAATCTGTCCTCTACTGCAGCAATATTAATATCAAACCTAGGAAATCTATCAATCTTTTTTTTTTTTTATCCTTTTTTGGAAAATAAAAATAGCTTTATTATTGAAAACTTCATAAAAACACATCCACTGTCCTATGCTGCAGGTACTTATGCTGTATAAAACAAGTTATTTAAACCGCCTGGTTATGTCTGCGGGGCAGTTTTAGGCCGAATGTCACTGCTGGAGGAAAACTCAAGGTGTTGTGCTAAGCAGGGTATCCCCTCAGCGTTTATATCCTCAGCGTTGTTCACTGCACAGAAGTAGTGATGGTTTAATTTTCTGTAAAGGTGGACGATCAGATTTTGTACTCTGTTGTCCAGTTAGTGGGTTTCATTATATGAAACGCATCTCATGTAGAATTAATAATAAAGTTTTATTTTTGTTATTGAAAGCCTCTTTCCCACTGAAAATTGTGGTTTAACTCGTGTTTTTCAGACACGTGTCAACCCGCTAACAATCCGCATTTGGCTGCATCCCCATTGGCTTAAAAACTGTCTTACCCGGAGCTGCGTGTCTGGTGACCCCATCCCGTTGGGGAGCGTTGATGATGCCACCGGTGTGACAGAAATCACTAAAGTAAACAATGGAGAGAAACGCGTAACAAAGAGTTGTTTTGGCTTGTTAGATTATATTGATCGATTGTATCATGTAAATTAGCACGCGAACCAACACGCAGATCGCAGCCGAGGCAATTTAAACGCAGGTTGCTTGCAGAGTTGTTTGACCTGGGTAGACACGCGTCAGTAAGTTCTTCCCACTGCCATTAAAAGCCGATTTGTTCCGGGGTTTAATCTAGGTTATCGGCCAGTGGGAAAGGTTTGTGTGTATATAAAGAAAATGTTGGCAACAAAGCAGGTATCTCTGAAAATATGATGTAAATGGAAAAAAGGTTCCGGTCTCCCTGCTGATGCTGTGCTGCCTTAGTATTCCATTAATCACCAAAACTAAGTTTAAATGTTGTTTTAAAGTAAGACAATTCCTAGAATATGTATTCTATATCCACACAGTCAGCATACACGCTTTTTGTCTTGTATGTTTGTCTTAAAGCACATTTTGGTAACTCATTATTTTGCCAGCAGATGTCAGGCTTGCCCTATGCTTGGTTGGTTTGTAATGGAGGTTTTCTACATCTTGTAGGTGCAGCGACAGCTCCCACAGGCTGCTGTGTTTGTCACAGAAACCAGGGCTCCAGGACGCTGTGCTCCCAGTGTGACAGACTTGCTTGTTCATCTTGTACCCGACAATGTTCCAGCTGCTGCAGCCTCTGCTGCTCCGTCTGCACCATCACAGAGTAAGTTTTTCTCTTCCCCAGATAGTTTTTCAGGGCTCTTGCACCTTTTAACACTTGTCAAAGTATCTTTATTTAACAATCACAATGTACTGCATTTTCTTGGGAGTTCTGCTTCGAAGTAAAAGGGAAGGTGTTAAAAAATGTTATAAGAAATAATACTTCTCCCTTTTTACTGCGTTACCCATAAATATGACTGTGTGCTGTAGATGTCTTGGCGAAGTCTCAGACTTGATGAACAGCCTGAGACAAATCCATAGCTTTTACAGATTTAGAAAAAATATACAAAAGAAAGCTGTGAAAATACCCGGAGGCTAAAAGCCATGTAAATATGCTGAGCATGGGATTAGACTAAATATGTGGGGTTATTAAGCTGTTTTCTACCTCTGTTTACTTTTAATATTTTTTTCTAAAAAAAATGATTCTTTTAAATCAGAGTTGCAACTCATTCTGATAGCTAGCCTATCCTTTAAATCCCATTTCACCTAAGAAATTATCTATTTATTATTTTCCTTCCTGAACAGAATTGATCCAAAGTGGTTTTTCAGTCCTTTGTTCACAAGACTAGACCCTAAAGTTTAAATCCTTCACTTACATTTTCTTACTGTTGACAAGATAAGTTTTCAACCTTGCTGTTGAGAAAAGTTGCACCAGTTTGTCAAAAACACTGGTTCGCCCTTTAGAAGTATACCAGAAACATTTATACAGGTTTCTGAAAGGTATGGTGTTTAAAGTGAAATGTTTAATGAACTGCCTAAAAGTTTGTTAAATTGTTAAAGGAAGAAAGTTGATTATCGCTGCCAGAGTAGCGACTAATCAAGGCAGGTTTTAAATCGCTTCACTTTTCTTTGAAAATCCTTTTTAAATAAAAAAATATTTTGCTTTGTTGTTCCATTGATTTACTTTAGTTGAATTCTAATTGAATTTACATTATCTGATACAAGTGTACATTTCAGTGTTTATTCTCTCAATGTATTGAAATCTGAATGCATGTTACTTTCCCAAACTGTGTGAGAAGGTCAAAAATTAAATCCTGTTGGACTAATAAAGCGGCTTATTACAGATTATTTAACATGATTAACCCTGTCTTTGTTCTCTAGTTACAGTGGACCATACGATGAAGTACTTTGCTGCAGCTGTTCAACATAAGAGAACCAACAGGCCTGATCAGGATTGTGTACCTAATCATAGGCTGTAAACCCCATGAAATTACAGTTTATGCTTATTTTTTTATTTTAAATGTCCTCCTGTATATATGTATCATTCTTTTTTTTTGAACTGAAATAAACTTGAATGTTTTTTATAGTCACTTTCATATTTGTATTGTGATATTTCATATTGAATTAAAGATAATGTATCCTATCTCTGAAAGATTTAATGGGATTAATTGTATTACTCTACCAAAGCTGTTAAAATGCAAATACTAGGTTGGCACCTGTTAACCACTTAAAACTGGTTAACACCTTTAAAGAAGCAGTGGAACTTTTTATTTGATGTGGAGGAACCTGTGTATCGGCATGATGAAACGGTCTGTAGGAATCAGCATGTTTTGTTCCTACAGCTAACATTAAAAGTTAGAAAATGGTGAATAATTTTTTTTTTTCCAACTGTATGCTTGTAAACAAAAACATAGATGCAACAATAAGTTAAAAATAAAATGTGTTTGTTTCTCTTAAATCCACAATATTTTTGGGGCTAGGCATCTTTCCAGTTGAGAGAGATATTGTGGGTCTTTGTAGCATAAGAAATGTTTTCAGTATTTTTCACTCTTTTTAAATTTTGTCTTAAAAGGCATTTTTTGTTTTTTAACATTGCCTTTCAAAGCTGATAATTTTGCAAAGTTTCCTGCTTTTGTTTGAGTAGATTTATTCATCTAAAGCTGTTTTACCTTGAAGGTCAGCAGGTGGCAGCACAATCCATCAAACACTTAATCTACACTGAGTGTGATCTATTTAGTCTTTCTAATCTGAGGAGAAACTCTTAAAACCAATGGTATATTGTGGCTTGATGACCATAATGAAATTAGTACCTGGCTTTTATTTCAGACTAACCTTAAATCTACTGAAACAAGGCAGGAGAGAATAGAACCAGAGCTTTAAAGCAGTTTGGCTTCAATTATCCCTACTGGAACTGACCTTGGGGGGTTATAGTCATCACTGTGTCTGCTGCTGTTTATCACTGGTGACGGCCACCTTTCAGGGTCAGATATTGTAAGCTAAATAACTTCTCAGTAGTACTTGACAGAAATTAGTCACATGACTCAGAGCAGTGGATGCCAGGTTGAGCTTTTTACAAATGTGCCTCTTGAGCTCCAGAGTCCCATCTCTTGCTCAGCAGCCCAGTTGTGGCCCGGGTCTGTGGGGAGCTCCTGCAGTTGGTGTCCGAGGGCACTGCTTGACTCCTGGCTGAGTGAAGAGACAGCTGCTGGGGAGCCAGGCGTCAACTTGTCTGCACATTTCTTGATAAGACTTTAAGAAACAGTTGGGTATTTAAAAAAGCGTGACGCAGATATGCACTAAAGCTGCTGTGTTACTTTTGAAGATTGAGCAAAACAAGCAAGGGGTTAATAAGTAAAACCTGGAGTTGTTTTTAGATCAATTCAGTAGCTAGGCTTGAAGTTTTTATAAGCAACCCTAAATATTTTTACAATCCTTGTCACCTTCAATGAGGATGTTCAGTGTTTTTTTTTTTTTTTTTGTAGAAAAATGTGTTTTGTTTTTCTTTTAATGCAGGATTTTATTTTGAAGGACAGTTGAGATGGTGAATCACTTAAGAAATTATTTCTTAAAAATAATGAGCCAATTCTTTTCCCGACCTTACAGCCACTGACATTAATGCAACTGAAGCTTTTTTTGCCATTCATAATTTATCAAGTAGATCAGAATGTCCGGTAAGTTAATTAATAATCCGTGACTAAGAGATGAAGTGTGAAATGGCCCCATTTAGCCACTCTTTGAATGAGAGCATTCAATAAGGCAGATGTTAGTGGATATTAAATCAAGGTTATCTTCAAAGTAATGAACATCTTCCCTAAACTTCCTATTTTTTAAAGGCAGAGTAACTAAAAAAACTTGAAACTAGTATTATTTGACCTTAAGGGAGGTAGGAAAGACTATTGAGGAACTGCAGCAAAGCATAGTTGTGTCACAAAAAACTGCAATAAAAATCCTTTTTAATTATACAACCTAATGCATAATTAAACAACAATAAAAAAGTATATATATACTTCAGGTGGGTCTGGAATAGAGAAAGCTCCCTATGCCCTCTTTCAAATACGGTGAAGGATGTGTGATGCTGTGTGCCTGTTTTTGTTATAGAGAACTTTATTTGAGTCTGACTTTGATTATATCTTTGATATTCCATAAGATTTCAGATAAAAAGCTAATAGACTAAAGCTGTAAACTGGAAAAAGTTTGTGTTTTCAAGCAGGACCTCGTGGCGATGATTTACCAGTCAGAATAAACCTACTTCTGTAACAAATTCAGGCTTAAACTCTACAAAAAAAGAAAATAGTTTGAGAGGATCTATTAAGGATGGCATCTCTGCTTCATTCCTGTTAAAGTTGAATTACCTGTTAGTAAAACTGGATCGGAGATGGGTTTCAGGAGGGCATTGCATCTTCTTAGAAATAAAGGACTTTGCATTTATATGTTTGGTGTTCTAAATGTTTGAACTTGTGATTATGATTATTCTTGGTCTTTATGCTTTAAGATTCCCTGTTTAGATCCTTCCTTGTTTTAGTTTTGTATTCATGACCTTCAACAACAAGAGTACACCTGTTAAGGTTTCCACTTCATCCTCTTTCATGGAGTCACGCTCAGCAGTGTTGCAAAGAAAGACCCCCTGTCTTAATTCTTTAAGCATCTATGGTGGGCAGAGGAACTGGTGCCCCTCACATAGTCCGCTTCACTACGCCAGACAGCACCAACTGGACTGACCCACATGGTTTGTCTTTCACCCATTCTTCTGGAGGACCAGCTGTGGTCTGAGCATGGCAAGTGTCAAACCCAGTGATGTTGCTGCTATAAATATGAGTCAATGAGTGGATGGAGCGTGAGTTAGTGACAGCTGTATGGTGGAACAAGGACACGCAGTCTTGATACTATTAGAGGGAGACAGTCCAAAAAGGTCAACAAAGTATGAGAGATCCATGCATACCATAACTTACACGTATTCAATATATAGCCAAAAAGGAAAAGCTTTTTTTTAAAGTATATGATTTATTTATACATTTTAGAACCATAACTATAAATAAGCATGAAACATAAATTATAATCTGCACTGATTGACAATAAATAAAAGCAAAGACACACTTTTCAAAAGTCTTTATGACATGCAGTAAGACTTTACATGGTGTAAAAAAAAAATTCTTAAGCTGACCATCTCAAAGGGATGTGTACTTCTTATTGAAACCGAAAACAGATGTGTTGGGAACCTTTGCTATAGAGATTTTATAAAAGAACGTTTAATGAAATGGAAGAATCTCTTGCCTCCTTCTGAGAACACACCGCTACTTATATAGAATTATGTAATCATCAAGATCTTAGATATTGGGTGGAATAAAAGCCCAAAATCTGATGGGTGAGGGCGCAAACATATTTAATGCTATATCAACCCAAGATATACCGCAGGGAGTCAACAGCCAGACCACTGAGTTGACCATGGATGGTACTCGTCAGCATAAAAATCGAAGTTAGGAAAACTATTCCTATTTAGCTTTTCTACTGTTTGTCTACAAGCTGACGGTACAATTGTCTACTGATTTCTGTAAATCTTGTTAAATCAATAACCACTCCCTCCATATGATCCTCCTGCATGTGAAGCCATGAACACTGGCTTTAACAACAACTTTTTGTTGTGTGTGTCCAGGCCACATAAAAGGGGAAATGCTTAAATGCAGCAGCCACCTTTATTTATATTTTTAACTTCCATTCTAATGCATCACATGTGACATTAGTTTGGAAATACTTTTTATGGAGAAAAAAACAGTTTGTTTGTGGGAGGAAGGTGCATACAAATGCCTTTGAATCCCATTATTTTTGTTTTGTTTTTGTATTTGCTTCTGTGGTAAATTACAGTCACTTTGCAAATAAAGGACTTTCAATCCCTCTGTAGAGTGCTGGTTTATTAAAAGTATCCAATCTACTGTTTAGGTTTGACTTCCTCACTAAATAAATACCCACATATATTTAGCTTTATTAATGCATTTTCAAGTATTTGCTCCTTTTAGTTTTAAACCTGTTTGGGCATTGCATCCTGCATTTTTTTTGGTAACCTAAACAACATTATCACTCTTTGACAACATTATCACAGACTACAGAATACGTTTTTTTTTTCAGCATTTCTCAACTGGAATTAATAAAACTATCATTTATTGCAAAGATCCTGATATATGCCCTTTGAAATATTGTTTTCTGAAAGTCAAAAGAATGGCCTCTTATAACATTAAGTTGATGATAACATTATGCATGTGTAAGCTAAGGGGGGGGATTAACCATGCATATGTGTGTATGTGTGCACTGTCTGTACACAAGTGTGTGTGCAGGCTTGTTTGTGTGTCCTTTTCAAAGTGTGACCACCTGTCTTTTGTTAAGAAATAAATAAATAAACACTGGCCCCACCAGCTGTCCCTGGCAGTCTGTCCCTGCAGAGGTCAAGGGCTCCCACCGCTGGCCTTGTTGAGGTTGTGGACACTTACAACTTTCCTCTCAACTTCTCCCAAGTAGCTCTAAACACCAACAAAACACACAAAAGGAAGCAGGATTTGAGCCTTGGAGAGGAATGTTATATTACTCTGTGGAGTTCGGCTGCACATATCCCAGCTCGTCACCCCTGCAGCTAAGCCTTATCACATGGGCCGCCGCTCTCCATGTGAATGTGTTGCTTCATAAGAAATGCACACAGGCAGGGAGTTTAAGCTCTGGATCTCTTAAAGCAGATGTGAGATGTTTGGTGCTGGTGAGCACTCCAAGGCCTGCTCCTACTGCCGCTGCTTACAGTAACATTTTGGAGGGCCCTTATTTACACTGCCATAAGCTGGTTGGGGATGTTGGGATGACTATGAAGGATCTTGGGAGGATATTGTTTTCTTTATGTTGGAGCTGGCTGGCTGTGTTGTCGGTTTGAGCATAAAGTACGTGCTGAGGAGCCAGGCCAGACAATAGCCTGGCTGAGCTACTACCCACGCACACAATGGAGCAGTGGGATGAGGCCGTGTTTTTTTTTTTGGGGTGGGGGGGTGTTTAGGGCTGAGCTGGATGCGGCCCTTGTCTGTATGGCGTTCCCAGAATGTGGGTGAGCTGGGATTTTGGGGGAGGGTGGTGGGAACCTGAGCACATCCCGATTGGGATCACGTAGCAAAGCAGCTGGATTTCTTTCATGGTGCAGCGGGGAAATAATTAAAAGTCCTTGCTATTGAAAATGTTCAGTGAATTGGCATAAATCTCCTTAATTAGACACACATTCGGTGCTGGTGTGTTTACACACAAATAATGTGTGTAATCAAGTCGAGTTAACAAACAAAATAACAATTTAAGTTTGTAATACAGGTTTTTATCTCCTTTTAAGATTATTGGCAACAAGACAGAGACAATAAGAGCTCATGTTGAAGCTGCTCTGTCCTTGAGGTCAGTTTACTGTTTCAGACAGATAGGGCCTGTAAGACCTGAACTATTATCACACTGTTGTGTCTGTACACACTGCAGCACTCCAAACCCACACCAACCACTTGTGTGTCAGACGACTTCTCAATGGCATCCAGCGGCTTGAACCTTAATCAGCCCTCATGGTGTAAAAGTATATCTTTTTTTTTGTTTTTATTTGTATTCTTTCTGATTTAAAGGGACACCGCTGTAAGAAACCCAATGATTCTTTGAGAATACACCTAATCTAGTCATTATTTCAAATAACACTTTACTTTTTAGTAATTTTACCATTTTTGATCAAAGTTTTTATGGAATATAACTTTGCACTGAAGTAAAAAAAAAAAAAAAGTCTCCAGGGCTCCAAATGAAAGAACTGCAGCTAATAGTTGCATATATAGGTGAATCTAACAAGGTTTTCTGTCCTACCATCACAAATACCAACCAAACTGAGACTTTACCTGAAGCTGTGTGCAGCGATCAGAGCAGACCGAGGCTTAGCTGTTCAGTAGCAATCACTTTAAATGAGCTTTAGGTGGAAAAGCCTCTGATGCCCATGAGTAAGAATTATTTCTTTTATATTCTATTCTAAAGAATATGTGATACTTTTGGTCTTTTTTTCCCCCCAAACACATTGGGGACATTAGAAGACTAAATATATCATAAAGTCTTTGAAATCTTAGGACATTTATAAATAAAAATCAGGTGGTCTCAGTTAAAAAATATATATATTATTGGTCTTTAAGTGGAATATTGATCCAAAATGTTCACGCTCTCCTCAGACAAAGTCAATCTTCTTATATACTTTATATTCAGACTTAAAAAAAAAGAAATTCATAAGAGATTTTTGGACCTTCTGAATGGATTGTGAAAAGAGAAGTAAACATGATCTCTGTATGCAAGGTGCAATATTTTGCAATGTTATGGAAGAAAATCAGCTTTGTTGTTAAAATATTTTATTAATAAATTTAACCTAAAATCATCTGGTGGCAAACTGCTTTAAAAGAGGGAATGGGGAAACAAATGATAACCACACAGATAGACGTTGTTCCTTTTAATTCTATGTAGAATCTCAATAAAAGACCTAAATCAAGATTGTCACATTTTCACAGCACGCGCACACAGTCACTCCAAAAACAAAAGCTCAAACAGAGAAAAATGCACGATTAAAGATCAAAGTAAAATTGTCGCGGTATCTAAGCAATGCCAATCCTGCACAAAGATTGTCCTCTAAATCTCTACAATGCTAACACTGAAGCAACTGCTTTCTAGAAAATATACTTTTATTTTAAAAAATTATATTAGGTTCTAATGGCACTTCTAAAAAGTCTATTACAAATGTTTGTGTTCAACATGTAGAAGTGTTGATTTTACACATATAAATCAAATAAAACCAAGAATCAAATGTTGCACAGGAAGCATATGAAATAAATATTATTCATGATCATTCACAGTTGTAACCTGCAGAGGAAACAATTCCAGTGATTTGTTTGTTGATTTGAAAGATCATACAGCATGATGGGCAAATACAGCCCGGTTCCAAGAGGACAAGAACCCCGAAAACATTCACATTCAACAGTGAAATTAAAATACAAATAATAACAGATTCATTTCCGTAAAAATTGGCTTGAAAAAGAAATCAACACAAAGGTGTTTGACTTCAGTTTAACACGACTGCTAATTTATTCACAGAAATTCCAACCCCCTCAGTTCAATCTCTCTCAATACATTACAAAAAAACATTTTTTTTATGCCCAGAAATTAGATAAAACTGTTAAATATGAGGCAAAAAAAAAAGGATCTAAATTAAAAACCTTTTCTCCAGATGCAGCACCTATTTGTGTGTCTACAAGGCACATTTGGTGATCATCCTGGAGGTTATAAATAAAAACATTAAACAAAACAAAGATTTGTTTCCATTGTTTTACATGTTAGTTATTTTACCGCTGTACATACGAAGACCAAAAAAGAAATCCTTCTTGAAAAAGGAAGATATATCTACATTCCTTTGTAAAATGATCTTTACCAGCACTTAGCAAAACTGATGATTTCTGGAGTGATTGTTTAAAAGGGATCGTTCAAGCATCACTGCTGGATTTTACGCCAGGGAGAAATTAATAGACACCAGCAATACCTGGAAAAATCCTCCTCATTTCTCATTTTTAAGTAAAAATGTCAGTAGTTGTCTCGGAGAACTCATACCAGAATTCATTTCATTTCCTACAAACCAGGAAATATCTCAATTTTTTATTATTTTTTCCAATAAGGGAACAATAGATATTTTTCCACCACATGCTTTGAAGCCTCCAAACAATGCACCTGTTTACTTTCTGCCTTTTTAAAATACATTTCTCACATTCCACTGGCTCTATTCAACCCAGAAAAAAAGTGCAAAAAGAGGCTTGAAGTGCCTTTTCTCCCCATAGCTTTGGAGAGTAGAGATACACAATGATCCCTTGAGAACTACCTGGAATTAGAAAAAGTGAAGGAGGTGGGGTGGGGGGACAATGCCTGTTTTGTCTGGTTTCTATAGGTAGCCAGGATCACATCGGTGCGGCTGAGCTTGTGAACAACCGTTTTACCTGTCAGAGCAGAAGTCGGAGCGCTTTTTAAATGACTTGTAACTAGAAGAAAGGTTAACAGACTCCCTAACCAGGAAAAGGAAAGAAAACTGAAAAAGTCCTGTCCACTCACACATTTTGTAACATGGGAAAAACAAAAACAATCTGATAAATATAATATATATTTACATTAAATAAACAAATAGTAAGAAATAGCAGCCTAGACAATAGTGTTGAAATCATATGCATGCTAAAAACAAGTGCTTATCTGTGTTCCATGTGAGAAATCTTGAAAACTGGACAGATTTTCCAAATATATATTAAAAAATACATTTACAGTAAGTTGATTTAAACAGTGTAAATAAAAACAAACTGACAGACCCAACACCAGTTAATGTGTACCAAGATCACTAGGCAAAAAAAACCATAAATACCTACAGGTAAACCCTGAACCAAGTCCGACTAATAAATAAGTTCTGATCAAGTCTTCTCAGGACAGATTAGATGAACATTATGAACGTTTAGTGATACCCCCCCAGTTAAGAATCAATAACAGCACCTATGCACAAACAAACAGAACAATTTCCTGTCTGAAAAAGGAGCATAGGTTTCATCAGTAGTAATTACACAGATACAGCGGTGCAAAACAAGGAGAAAAGTCCTTAGAAGCAGCTGAATGGCACAAGTTTGATGCCTTCTTATCCCGACTCTGCGCCATCAGGGTACCTTTTGCGTCATACCAATAACTAACTTCATTGAAAAACCACTGATTGCCTCTGATCCAAACGTCTTGATAACACAAACTGGATTTAGTTATTTTATTATGTATTGCTTTTTTTTTTGGTAACTGGTAACGCTTCTGGTATGTTGAAAGTAATCCATGTTTTTCCCCCAGGCTTCAAGAGTTTACAAAATAAAAGCATAGCAACTTGTGTTATTCTAGTAAGTACTCTAGGTCAAGCATTAAGAATTTCCTCAGGCATCAGTGTTATAGATGTTAGTTTTTAATAACTCTCTAGAGATGCATTGATCAGTGAATCAGTCAGAGATCATAATCAGGCAATTTCTCTTGATCGGTTCTGTAATCAGCAGGTTGTACATGGAAGATAATCTGTTTCTTTTCCTCGTATTAGATGGACATAAACGAATAACTACTACAATTTATTCTGTCATGATTCTGCATACAAAGACAAGCCAGACTAACCCTAAATGGAATTAATTTGAGCAAAAATGGGAGATTCTCCAATAAGGTTATCTTTAATGGATTAGATTATATTTTGGATCTGATTTAAGTTTGTGTCAGATGCACTGATGAAGATCAGAATCAGCCAATTTTCAGTCAACAAAAGCAGGTATAACAGTGGGGAAAATATAACATCTGGCTTTAAAGCCATTTATTAAACCCATCAAAATAAGAAAAAGGCAAGCAGACAATTTACTGTCTGTAATGTTCCTGTAAAAGAAACAAGAGTGTGGCTGTTAGGCAGCAGCATAGCTAGGTTATTCAGTTAATCCTACGAATATCTGAACTCTTTTGACAATACAAACTTCTTCAATGAAATGTAATTGCTGGATGCATTATATTTGCTGTTTGATATTATTATGGATGAACTAATCAATCATTTACTGATTTAAAATGTTCCAACAATCAGTCTGTTCTGGCTGGGGATCAGCAGATCCAAAAAAAAAAAAAGTCTTATTTTTATTCCTGTTAATACAGGTTTAAACAGTTTGTTTTTGTGGATCAAAAAGATTTTAAACAAATTTTCCCTTGATGCACTTTTTTCCTTTTGAATTGGAGAAAACAATACAGAAAAAGATTAAAGCTACATTCTTTGATGCTTTTTATATATGCATATTCTTCAAATATTATTTTTTGTTAGACTACTATCTTTGTCAGTGAATCTGCAGCTTATGTTTTACTTTAATATATTCTGGTCTTAAAAATGACAAAACTACAGAGTACGTATAAGCAGCCGCTGAAGTGAAACAGAATCAGAATTGATCAAGAAAAGCCTGATTGGTGCATCTCAGCTAATCGTTATCACTGTTCTGTCTATAAAGCAGAACATTTAAGGCGAATCCAAAAAGATGTGTTCAAAACTAAAAGGCTGGAAACTGAATACATCCAAAAGGAAAAAGAAAAACATGTGACGGTCTGCTTGCTTCTTCTCATACAACATAAAAACTTAAATGGCGAAAATCCATACTTCCAGTAGTTAAGCTTCATTTGTGTTTCTGCTTCATGATAGTTTAAGGGCTAAAAAAAACCCCAGAATAAATAATAATTAAATGATGTAGTCATTTAAAAAGAAATTGTATATTGCTTCTCACGGACGGTTCTGATCTCCCATGTGCACAAACAAACCTCATTCTTTCTCCCTCAAGATTGTGTCTAAGCAGGATGCGTTGCCGAAAGGATTTGAACCTCTCATCACAAACGCTCATCAACTAAACTAAACAGACAAAACAATAAAGACGGAAACTATCAAGTGCATCAACTGATTGGTTGACCTCTCTGTGACACAGATCCAATAATCTCAGCAGCCTCTGACACAGTCCAGCACAGGATACAGCTCCAGTTTGAAAGTTGCTACATCATTAGAAACGTAAGATATGCCCCAAGATTTGTCTTTAACAAACTGCCAATTTGTTTATACGAACAGCAAAAATGCTTCAGCAGTAGAATTCAGTGTGTGAAAGGACATTCTGTCTTTTACGGCACTGGTGAGAGGTGTTTTATCCAATGGCAAGAGTTTTAACAAGGCCACAGTGAAACTTCCTGATGTGGCGGTAAAGGTCTCCAGACTGGGTGAAACGCCGCTCACACCACTTACAGGCATGAGGTTTCTCACGGGTATGAACCACAGCATGGCGACTCAGGTTGTGGGAGTACTGGAAGCTCTTGCCGCACTGGGCACAGGTGAAAGGCTTCTCCCCGGAGTGAGTACGCTCGTGGCGCTTAAGGGTATACATGCACGAGAAGGTCTTGTTGCACTGCATGCATGTTGGGACGGAGCCGTCCGGGGAAAGCTTGGAGCGGGCACCGTCCTTCTCACGAAAGTGCGAGCTGAGGTGCAGCTGCAGCACGTGGGGGCTGGGGAAGACTTTGCTGCAGAGGGGACACACACACACCTGTTGGCCCGGAGGCAGAAGCACCCCGCTGGAGGTGGATATGTCGGAGGAGGCCAGGTCATCCTCCTCCTCTTCCTCGCTGTCCCCCAGTAGCCTGCCCCTCCTGTCCGGCTCCCTGCCTGGAACGCCCTCCCTCCTCCTGCAGGCCTCCCCCTCCTCGTCCATCAGGTCCTCCTCCTGGGAGAGCAGGGCGGCTGTAGCGCCGTTGTTGCCTGGGAAGAGGGCAGCGAACCCTGTCACCACTGAGCTCCTGGCACTATTCCCAAAGCGCTGGCTCTCAGGGCTCATCGGCTCACTGTCCTCCTGCTCTGACAGCAAGTCGTGTTCGTCTTTAACAAGTGGCTCAGTGCCCTGCTGCTGGCTGTCGAGGGCCAGCTGTCCCGAGACGTAGGAGGGGTGTAAGAGATCTCTGCTAGACAGAGGCTTGAAAGACAAATCCAGCGCACAGTCCATGTCATCTGAAGCCCGGGACCTCTGGGACAGCAATACGGTGGAGCTACTGACATCAGCTTTTGTTTTTCCAGCTGTTTGGATGCAGGTCTCGGCCTCTGCTGACATATAATTGACACCTACAAGGTCCGGGGACCTGCCGGAGTGACCGTTCGCCTTCTGCCTGCTCTGCATGGACCTTTCACAATCTGTGACAGCCAGCTTGACTTCACTGTTGTCTGTGTCAAAGTCTTCCACAGGGGGGGCCCTGAGAAGCCCGTGAGAGTGGCGCTGAATTAGCTGCTTACAGTGCAGCTCACCATCTATGGAATTCTCCCTGTCCAGGCAGCCAAGTCCCAAACCCTCCCCTAACTTCTCATCCAGGGAGGAAAGTTCTTTATCTTTAAGTTTGCCTTTGCAGACTTTTACTATATCGTACATGTGGAGGTAGCTGGCAGCAGCCAGAACATCCTCCACAGGCAGAGCACTGAACTCCAGCTTCCCCTCATACATAAATTCAAGGAGCAGACTGAAAGCCTGGGCCGTCACAATGTCACTGTTGAGATGCACAACGTCCCTTTTGTCCAGCTGGTCCCTGTAGAAGAGGTGGAAATACATGCTGCAGGAGGCCAGCACAGCTCTGTGGGCTTTGAACCGAGCCTCCCCGACGAGAACAGTGCAGTCACAGAGGAAGCCTTGGTGACGCTGCTGACTCAGACATTGCAGCAACTGGCGGCTATGGTCTGGGAACTCCATTCTTCCTTCATAACCTGATGGAAAAACAGGAAAAACAGGATAGTGGATAAACCAAGCGAGGCGCCCATAGAGGGCACAGTGCAGGGAAACATGTCACAACTAAAGAGCAAAGAGAAAATGAGCACCACCGCCAGAAACCATGATAATGAATGAGTTTTAAACATTTATATAAGCTCACATCATTTGATAGTTCATGATATGGGCAATATGGCTCACCACTCAGGGTATCATTCCATTGGAGGTCAGCACAAGCACTTGAAGAAAGAAATTGTGATTGCTAAATTACATTTTTAGTCACTTTGGTGTTTTGGGAGGACTGTCTTTTATAATGAACTGCTTTAAATCGTAACACTAATCAAACCATAACTGGGCGATTAAACAGCCAGAGATGCTTTTAAACAAATAACGATTTTTCAAGGCTGTTTTCAAAATGTGAAAATCCATCCAAGAATACTTTAGAAAGAACCACCCTAACTTCAGGTAAATGTAAACAGTACTATAATAATAATAATAATAATAATAATAATAATAATAATAATAATAATAATAATAATAATAATAATAATAGGGTTATGTCAAACTTGGAGCAAAAATATTTTAAGGTAATTAAATAAAGTTTAATTTGTAAACTGTGAGAAAAAAAAATGTTGCATTCTTAAAATCGTTTTTGACATTTTGGATGTTTTCAATGTGGTAAACAAATAAAAAGAGGTGTTTGCCAATAGCGTAAAATTAATGCACTACAGTAGATTACGATTTAAACAGAGCCACACCATCAAAGAAGGTCCTTAGCACAATTTGATCTGGTGCCCTGAATGTTTGTTATTGCATTAAATCAAGAAAGAAAAATACATTTTGAAAGGATCTAAATAAGATGTTAATAAAAAGGCTGGAACAAGTGGATTATTGCCTGGGTGTGTGGCGCATGACATACCCGTATTAAGATAACTCTGTTTTGAGTCATAATAATTACTGTTGTTCTTAATTAGATCAAATATATTTAACTGCAAAAAAATATAAGATCAATAACATATGTTCTTTTCAAGAACATGTGCTCATTTTATAGTTAATAAAGTCCAAATTTGAGGCGTCATCATGTTTCAATCTATGTTTCCTTAAACTCAAAAAGTGGCTCTGCCGCCCCCAGGCAAAACGACACCCTGGGTGAAGAGACATGTTGCCTGTATTTAATAGAAATATAAAACCCATACGTATGCGCTCTTTTACATCCAAATGAAACATAGATTTATTTATTTATTTTTTTGCACTTTTCTTTTAGATATAAACTTTTATTTAATCATTATTTCTATTCTGCATGTGAACTCATAACTCAAAGCTGCAACGAATCTAACATTCAACACTATTAACTTCGTCTAACTTGAAAGCATTATGGTTCAGATTATTTTTGCGCTCACCAACCTTTGCATCGCAAAGTAAAAAAAACAAACAAAAATTCCTGAAGAATTATTCCCAGATTGGTAATCCCGGATTTTAAAACAACGGTTTTTCTCCGATTAGGAAAGAAAAAAAACCCCAACAAAGTGAAGAAGCTCGTCCAGGAGGCTGAGGTGAAAAAATAAGAGCTGTGCAGAGTGAGTAAACTGCTGCTCTGCCTGCTAATTACACTGCAAGCTGTGGAGTCAGCTGCTCTGACATCACCGCAATGGAAACGCTACCTCCAGCTGTGCTCCGCTTTATGCCATATGTTAACGCGCTCAAAAAAGACCCCAAATTAATAAAAATAAATATATATTCATGAAATTAAAGCCGTAACTGTATTTTAAACTTTTCAATATCACGAAGCACCGATTTAAAGGCCACCCATTAAGCACGCGCTGAACTGAGAGCACTTGTTTAGAGAATAATTTAAAAAAATAAATAAACTATGCACCAAAAAAAAAACAAGTTTAGGTTTTGTGACGATTTCTTACTTACTCACTTTTGTTTTAATAAAGAAGAAAAACAGAGCGGCGTGTCCGTGCTGGGAGCCTTTTAAACTCACAAGCAGAAACTGCGCTGAGGGGAGGAGGAGGAGGGGGGGGCGCTTTTTTTTTTTTTTTTTTTTTTTAACTTTCGCTTTCTCCGTTTTAAAAAGCACAAAAACAACATCACCCTTTTGCTTACATGTATCTCCACTCCTGCCGACGTCCTTTTCCTCCCCTGCTATAAGCTCCGGGCTGCTCTCATGATGTGCGGCCAGATGTTTGCTTCTTCTTGCCGTTTCTTGAGGCTTCCAGTCCCGACCCTGGGAAGGCAGGCAGGCTGCACTCACAGCGCTGCTGTATGCCTGTGTGTGTGTATGTGTGTGTGTGTCAGAGCAGGTTGATAATAGCACAAGTCTCGCGATAGTGCTCCACAACAATAAGTTCTGTACTACTCCGGGATTTCACACAGCGGCAGCAAGTAGCAGCCAGAGGGCTACACTGGAGGAGGGGAGGGAGGGTACATTTGCTGTCTTTTTGAAACACCTGTCCCCACAAACAGTGCTGGCTTTCATGGTCATAAATCCTCTTTGTACGGAAGAGGATTAGGGTCACTGAAAAAATAAAAAAGGTTAACTGATTTTTAAATTTTATTTCTGTATAATATTAGAAAAAAAAAAAAAAATCTGAATTCTGATTTGAATCTCAGAATTCTGAATTTATTTTTCAGAATTCTGACTTTAATCTCAGGATTCTGACATTTATCTCTGAATTCTGACTTTTTCTCAGAATTCTGACTTTAATCTCAGAATTTTGACTTTTTTCCCCCACAATTCTGACTTTTTCTCAGAATTCTGACTTTAATCTCAGAAGCGTGAATCTTAATGTAGATGGACACCATGAAGGAGGTGTGGGAGAACTCAGCGTCACTGACAAAGATGTAAATTGTTTGAGAGGGCTAGTGACACATTGTTTAAAAATGATGAAATTAGGAAACTTTTTACGTGCCCGAGGGATCATTAAAACAAGAAAGCTGTAGCTTGATGCTAACATGTTTGTTAGCTGTCAGAATTCAGTCAGAATTCTGAGAAAAAAGTCAGAATTCTAAGATTAAAGTAAGAATTTGAGAAAAGGTCAGAATTCTGAGATTAAAGTCAGAATTCTGACTTTTTTCCCATATTAAACTGTAATAATAATGAAAAATTAGTTAAGTTTTTTTTATTTCTTCAGTGGCCCTAATCCTCTTCCGTATATTTTGTGTGGTGAACCTGAAGCAATTGTATGGAAGAGGATTCTGAGATTAAAGTCAGATTTCTGAGAAAAAAGACAGAATTCTGAGACTAAAGTCAGAATTCTGATATTAAAGTCAGAAGTCTGACTTTTTTCCCATATTAAAATGAAATAAAATTTAAAAATCACTTAACTTTTTTTATTTTTTCAGTGGCCCTAATGCTCTTCCATAAAAATGACAATATCTGCTTTAAACAAATTTGTATCCGTCCACATTACATTACAGACTTTAACTCATTTCTTTTTTTTTTTAACAGTGTCTGGCAATGTGGCAATAAGAATAATTGTCTTGATTCCAAAATAGAGCCCAACAGATTTACTTTCACAAGTGGAGCAGTACGGCTATCGCCATAGCATACTGCTTGAATTATACATAGAAATAGCTTTATTATAAATCATGCGGGGAGTAGTACATATTATATGGACACTGCAACGTAAGTAGAACAGGAAAGGAAAAACTAAAAAAAGGGAGAAAAGATTAAAGAAAGAGGGGATAAAAGGGAGATAATGATAAAAAATCTTCAGTCTTCTTCATCACCTGCAAAGAGATGTAAAAAGAACAGCACAACCAATGGATATAGTATAAGAGAAACAACAAAGTAACACCTTGGTACTATCGCTGAAGTATAAGTAGTATTGTTTAATCTTACATGTATTCTGTGGTAGCTGAAGATAAGAATATGGACTTGAACAGATTTTAAATCAGCCTGCTTTACTCTAATACACCTAAAAAAGTAATTAGTAAATAAAGTCCACCAGTCTGAGATTTTTCTAAGTATAAATGTGGCTGCCTAAGAGTTTTGTTTGAATACATTTGTTTAAACAGGAGAAACAGATCAAATTCTAATTCATAATGTCAATTTTGAAAGAGGATGCTTCTGTTGATAACCTACTAAGGCATTATCTTACACAAACTTTTAACAATGGAAACACACCAAAACACGTGGAAGAAGATACTTTGGTTCAATAATATCAACTTAACAAACACGGTATGTGATGGAGAAATAAGAACCCACATCATGGACAACAAACACCATCACCACTTCGAAGCACGGTAGTGACAGCGTCATCCTGTAAGGGATGCTTCTTTGAGCAGAAGAAACAGGGATTTTTTTTTTTTTTAATCCCTTGACGCAATGTTGAGGTTTCTGACTAGGGTGGAATGTATTTAGAAGCTACAGTTTTCAGATTAATATTTGTAAAAAAAACAACTTTTCTTCTTCAGCACAACTTTCTATAGGTTTACCGATGTATAAGATTGCAAATACATTGAGGTTTGTGGTTTTAAAGCAGCAAAATGTGAAAACTGACTTTTGTAGGGTTTTATAATGTCTTATCATCTTTGAATAGTGAGGTTATTTACTATATATATATATATCTATATATATATCTATATATATCTATATATATAGATATATATATATATGCAAATAAATAAGCTCTCTGTTACAAGTTTAATAGTTTGAGTTGTTTAGATGCATATTCATTATGTTTCTTAACTGTTCCCAAGCACTTCCTGCCTATTCCCAATAAATCAAGTCTGATGCATTAACAGGCTCTACTCATATTATTTTATGGGTGTTGCTCATTTGTTCACAGTTATAAAATAACCATAAAAAGGTTAGATTGAGCCTTTAGTTTTGTATTTATGTAGAGAATTCCACCTTGTTTGCTCATTCCCTTGCTCAGAAGTATCCAGGATTAAGGGTTTAAATTTGATTAATTTAGCAAGCTGCTCAAAAATGTTGCATGTGGTTTTTCATCTGCTTTTGAAAGAAAGAAACTATTTTCTGCCTCAGAGAAGTGATCTCTGTGGTATCTGAACCGATCAAAGAAGTATAAATCTCTTCTTGTTTCACAGCAGGTCAGTGGCCCTTTGTGAACTTTTAGAAATCAAATTCAATTATGAAGTTTTAGCTAGGACCGAGTAGAGATGAGTCAAACGTCAACCTGAGTTTTCTCTGTAACCATTTAGGCGATATATGTGGTGAAAATGTGAAGAAACAGGGGCTCAAAGTTGCAGCTGCTCATCTCGTGGCCCCTCTGCCTCCTTTCCTCCCCCTCTGGCTCTTCTTGTGCTCCCCCAACTGCTTCAGTCACCTTTGCCCCGTGTTCCAGCTGTCGTGCGCTTTGAAAGAGCCATTTGCAGCTCCTTGCAGCCTTCTAACACAGAAGGGAGTGAGCAATGTGAAGGGAGGTGGCAGCCACTGCTTGGAAGGGGCCACTAGATAGATTCTTATCCACTTAGCAACATAGTCCATCTTCAGGTTGGCTGTTTTCAGCAGACAAACATAAAATACACATTTTTTAGGAAGACATGAAAATAAGTTGATCTTGATAAATGAAAAGTGTAAGGCATGTAGAAACACAATTTATCATTCAGCACCAATTCACAGAGACACACACTCACATCCTTCCAGGGGCAGTGATGTGGATAAGAATAGGAGCCTTGGCCCCGGGTTTCTCATACCCTGGCAAATGCAGGCACCCAGCAGAGGAGGGGTGTGTGTGTTCACAGGGCAAAGACAAAGCAGTGGTTGTGCCTAGAGACCGTGGCCTCAGCGGAGAGAGGCTCGGCACGGTGAAGGTTCTCACACAGTGGGAAAAAAAAGATGGAGAGAGACAGACAGAACGCAAGTGGGGGCCTGGGGGGGAGTAGCGGACAGCGAGAACACTTCCTGGAGGTTCATTCTTCCTCCCCGCAATCATCAATGGCATTCTCCCCCTGACCCACTCCTCTCCCAGACAAACAAAAGAGCCCACATTCCAGTGTAGCCTGACCAGCCAACCAGTCAGCCACCGTTGAGCCACATCTTTCTCCCCACTGCTCCAAAGACTCGTGGGGAGGGAGAGGCTGAGCTATGGATATCAGTCTTTGAAGGTATGTGCTTCAGAAAATAAAATGTACTCCCTTATCATCACTTTTAGAAAAGGTCAATATGTTTCTCAGAGTCTAACTAGAGCTGCACCAGCTGCTGCAACTGATGAGTAGTTTTGGATAAAATCTCTACAGTTGAACCAAAAACCTGTATCCATTGGGACTGTGTTTAGACCAATATAAAGTAGTAGTAAACAGTAAGGGTATTTCTAAAAAGAGATTCGGTAGTAAAATACCATTAAAGGCCAGTCTCTTTTATTTATTCCTTACTTCATCTCTCAAAAGTAAATATCTGCGTCAATGAACATGCCCCTGCCATCAGAAGAATGAACTCCAGAGGGATGTTCTAAACTGTAAGTTACACCCTAGCATGTATGGGAGATATGCAAGAAATAAGAAAGATCAAATTCCAATTCAGTTTATTTATATAGTGCCAATTCACAACACTTCATCTTAAGGCACTTTACAGAGACAATTCAACCAGATCATACAGTCAGATCAGTTCAAAGTTTTCTATCTAAGGAAATCCAGCGGATTGCATCGACTCATTGATCTTATCAGCAATCTCTCACATCGCGCATGCATGCAGCGAGTGTGGAGAGGAAAACTCCCTTTGAACGGGAAGAAACCTCCAGCAGATTGAGGCCCAGTGTGAGCGGTCATCTGCAGAGGCCGACCGGGGTTCAAGGAGACAGAAGCAGACATAGAAAAAGAAGCAGAAATACAAAACAAACATAGAAGCACTGTTCTATAAATATGTTCTATGATAGAAAAGTTCATTGTAAATTAGCTCCACAAGGGGCTCAGTCTTGGAAAGAAAGAGTTGAGAAGATGAGCTCTGAGTCAATTTTCATGTTAAAGGGATGAAAGAGAGCAAATACAGTTAGTCACAATAAAGCACTGTAAAAACAGGCCAGACCCTATTATTGTGACAGGAAATTGGACAGATATGACTCAACTGAGAACTCAGAGTTTCCAAAATTCTGTAGTTTAAAGACAGTCCAAAGGTTGGTACACTGAGAACCAGTCAAGTCAAGAGGTAACCAAAAACACTGGCCTAGAAAGCTTGGGTAAAAAGACTAGAACGCTTGCTGGAAGAAACAAAGACAAACTGACATGGGAGGAAGGAAACAGACTGCTTAAGTACACAGCTGACTTGGGTAGTGCAGGCAGCAGAAGTGGGACAAAAGAAAGCTGCCATGTCATGAAGAAGCTACTATGATGGGAATAG